GTATCTTCTTTAGTCACCCTCCATTGTTTGTTGTTGTTGTTGTTGATTTTATTGTTGTTTTTTCGGGTTTTTGTTTTGTTTTGTTTTGTTGAGATAGAGCCACATAGAGAGCCTGGAGCTTCACCAGTTCATCTAGACTGACTGGCCAGTAAGTTCTGGAGATCTGCCTGATTCCATCTACCTCAGCTCTGGAATTACAGACACATACTGCAGCTCTGAGATTTCATATAGGTGCTAAAGATCCAAACTTGATCCCTCATGCTTGTGCAGCAAGCCCTCTCCCAACAGAGCCAGTCTCTTGCCACTTACTCTTCAACAATCTCCTCTTCATCTTTCTCCTTCCAGTTTAAAGAAATTCCCTGACCAATCTCGCAACTTTCTCTCATTGGCACAAGCCAAGAAGGAAACAAGGGTTGGGGACAGCTATAAAGATCTGGGTTCACTTGCATTGGCCATCAGAGATCAAGAGAGGCAAAGAAGCCAGATGAGAATGACCAGGCAGGTACTAAGCAAAGAGCCACTGGCCAGGAAGAGTCAAATTCCCAGAAAATCAAGCAAAGACTATAAGCATCTTTAACGACCCAAAAGTCCATATGCTTTGAGGATAGGATTATAATACAGGGAAGCTGATGCTAAATGTAAAATCCAGGAGGAGTAGGCATGCTTAGTCAGAGATCAGGGAAGACCAGAGAAGTCATTTTACATGTAGGTCAGTGACTGATCATCTAACCCAATCCTAAGAATACACTGAGTGCTTCATGGTGGTCCTAAGGAGAGCTAGGGAAAGACGTACTTCCTTCCTTTCTGGGTTTTGGCCTTATCCCCTTTTACATCCCTTTCAAGTGAATCTCTGCCATGAAACTTTCTTTGGTTAATAGGTGTGGGCTATACAGATGCATCACTTGTGGGTAGAAGCTTCAGGTACTTCTAGATTCTCTTAACTTCTAAGTTTCCATGCAAGCTTAGAATGAATAGCAAGCAATAGGGGAAATGAAAAGGCACTGGCATTTCCTTCTGCCAGTCAGGTAGACACAGAAGAGGGAATTCCTACTGGCTTTTACAGATGAGGAGGGCGATAAAAAGTCTGCCTGACACATATAGGACATCTGTTCCTGAAACACACAGATAGGATATCCCATTTAATCACCATTGCAATTGTATAGCTTTTCAAATATGACCGTATCGGACTCAAAGCCTTACACCTATAGTCTCATTTTCTGAATGGACTATAAATGGAGTGAAATTTGAAGTCAGGTCTGTCTAACTAGAACCTTTTTTTACAACTATGTTGGCAAGACCCAATGGACTACCCAGAGAACAAAGCAAGGCTTCTCGTCACCCGTATAACCTGGAAAGTCACACCGCTGCCATAAAACCAGCAACTGAGAAGAGCAGACTCATATCACCCTCTCTCCAATAGAAAAATATAGCAGAAAGTTCAAGAACAGCATCCAGTGACAAATGACACCAAATGTCACATTGTCCTCTGAGACAATCAAAAGCTTCAAAGGGACCCAACCTAGGGAGATTCCAGAGGTGGCTCCTGCCCATATGCTAAACCATGATCTTTTATAATATCCCTCAAGAAAATTCTAGAATCCTATACTAAATAAGGCTTTTATTGCTTCCCAACCCCATTGCTCTCTCAAGCCATAGGAATTCTGAAACAGAACAGGATGCAAAACACTTTAAACCAGCAGCTCTCAACCTGTGGGTCATGACCTCTTTGAGGGTCACATAGCAGATATCCTGCATATAATGTATTTGCATTTCAATTCATAACAGTAGCAAAATTACAGTCATGAAACAGCAACAAAATAATTTTGTGGCTGGAAGTCACAACATGAGGAACTGTATTAAAGAGTCACAACATTAGGAAGGTTAAGAACCACTGTTCTAAGTACCAAAAGCCTCACTCATAACAAGTAAGAAAATATTCTGAATGCAACCAAAACTTACAATTTTCTCAATTGTACAGGCAGAGTTTGAAGTTCAGTTTACGGTATAGAACATAACATTCTTGCACATTCTAATCGTGACTTAGGAATAGGACATTTCTCTATGTACATTCCTGTCTTTCTGTTGGTTATGTCAGTGTTTTGAGATAGCACATTTTGTAGCCCAGGATGGCTTTGGACTACAGATCCTGTTGCTTCAGTATACTGAAGACTGGAATCTTGGACATGTGACACTATGTCTGAGCAGGTATTTATTTTCACTCTGAGGGCCCAGGATAACCCAGCAAGCATTAAGCAGCCCAGGCTATCCCTTGCATTCGCACCACCCAGTACTGGAATTTGGGGTATTACTCACAAATCTTCATTTTAAGTCAACTAACTAATGTAATCAAATGTAAGATCAAGTGAATATATTCTAATCCAACTCACGTCACTGTTCTTCTGATACAGCCTGAGATTCATCTGATGTCTTTCAGCCAAAGTAAGAGGTAACATACTCTCACTTTTAGCAAAGTGGGCAGAAATATATTATTTAGCTGTCACTTTACACCATGTTATTGACTTTCAGATTAAGCCTTGCCTCTAAAGCCTGGCTAGAATCCACGCACTGCCACAATTCATCTCGGGGAATCCCATTACTGTGATGACTAAATGTATGTGTCATTTGAAATCATAATTTATTTATTCCCTAAATATTTGGATTGGTTTTCAAAGCACGAGATGGCCAAGTAGGCTGTTTTCAGGCATATGATGCCCATCAAATACATCATAATTATTTCTTCATTTTTTTTCAACATAAAAAAAATGGTGGTCATCTATCTGATTAAACAGACCAGAGAAGCGATTTTTAACTTACCCTTGACTTTCTATGACACACTCAACTTGCTGCCTGTGACACCTAAACTAGAGGCATGTGTTTTATAATGAACTTAAATGTGATATTACTATGTTCTAAGTAGCACCAGTACACCAGGTTACATATGTTATAGGCTTTTAAATCTCATATACTGAAATACAAAAAACCAGCAATCTTCCTAACTATCATATCACACAAAACAGGGCTTATAAACACTAAGTGCTTGAGTTCAAATAAAATTTGTATCTTTATATAACTTTATCTTCTCATAACATGCTTATAAACACTAACTCATTAAAATGGCAATATTTCAAAGAGGCCAGAGAATATACCAAAAATCATTTGAAATAAAAGCTCCACTTCTAATAGAATGCAAATATAGAAGATAGAACACATATCTCATAGTTTTGAAAGCAAAACAAATGATACTCTGATTTAAACATCAAACGAGGCACATGAGTTTTTGACTTTTTTTTTTAAATGAATGTCATGCTCTCTTTAGGACATCTGAGGGAGAAGTACAGATGCTCACATACTTGCAAATAACCAAGCCTCCCTCTGCTGCATCTCTCATCAGGGAAGCCAAGCATTCTACACTCAAAGCAGAAAGCTGCTGTGGTCCATGAGGTAGACCTAACATTTTCAATGCAAATCAAAAAGTAGAAACGCATTTCCGTATAATGTATGCAGTAGCGTCTGGGACTCCGGATGACACACTTGCAGAGGGTTGTGCTATTGATTTTCAGTAAGAGTATAAAGGAAATGGGGCAGCCTAAAGCACCCACTGCAAATGAACACAAAATTATGATTCAATGAAAATAGAGGGCATTCTGTTACCACTCTGAGGCCTGAGACTGGGGCCAGTTTTCTGACCCCAGAGCTATGTTACACGAAGATAATAATTCTCTCTATCCTCTATAAACTCCAGACATTACTGATCACTTCCTTTCAAGCATCATCCTGGAGGGACCCTTCTAAAACAGGTACTGCGGTTGCCTTTCAAACAGCCAGCTTGTCCTGCTGCCCTAGCAATCCTTCAGAGACCTCCCCTATCTTAAGGATCCAAAGCATCCTTTTGGTTCTCTCCATGCAAAACAGAGCCTGTTACTCAACTCAACTAGGAGCTTTAACTAAGGGCTTTAGAATTAGTCATTGGTATGACTTAATCCGGCCCACTAAAAGGCACTGGCTGTCCTTTTGGCTTCTAACAGAAATACTCACTTCCTTGCTTCTTCCTAAGGACACTGTTGGTGAGGAAAAGCTCCGGAATGTATTTGGGGGTCAGATGGAATTCAGGTGGTACAGCACTGGGGGATTTGTGAGTTTCCAGAGTTTTCCATCATCTTATCTTTTATCCTTATTGATGTGGTGACCCAAACACCAGGAAACCTCCACATACCTTTAGCAGGCTCAGTTTGGATTCTGCAGGTCTGCTGAGGTGAGAACCACAGTTCTCACCTACTGCTTTGAGGTTCTTAGTTTCATTTTAACGTTTGGTTAAAGAGATGTTGATGGGTCATATTTTTTAAGTGTGGATTCCCAAAAGGTCCTTATTTTCTTTCTAGACTTAAGGACTCAGCCCCAGGTCCTCACTGGAGAGAGAAGGGTGAGGGGGGAATCCACATCTGCTGGGTCTCACTTCAGAGTGGCAGATTGCTGGGGACCTCTCATCTGTCGTTTCTCAGCACAGTCTCTCTCCACTTGGACTCAGGTGGAGAGACTACCTAAAAACTCCTGCTAGCACCGCAGCAGACACTGCCAAAAGCTCTGATTCGCCAGCGACAACTTTATTGCAGTGTTTTTGTAGTTTCTGCACCGAGTAAAACAGCTTCAAAGAAGCAGGTGAGCATCCCACTGAAACCCTTCTTGTGCAAAGCCTAGTCCTGCAATCAACCACTCTTCTCACAGGTAACTCAAGAACACGGTGCACATAAACCCTACAGGGACCAGCCAGTCAGGAGATCTCTAGGATGCCGGGTACCTAAAGTGAACCTTTCTTTTCTCCATGCACTTGAGTCATCAAGCAAGAAAGTGCAGGAGATGCCTCAGGATTGACAAACTACACAAGCACCCTGGCCCTGACGGCGGGGTGCCCGTTGGAGTCCCCACTGGGGTCCCTACACCCTTGCTCCGATCGACCACCTAGCCTCCCTCCCTCAGTGCTCCCGGGAGCGAGTGGTCCTTACGTGTTCCAGCTTATCTTTCCTCCGGAGCCAGACGCTGGCGCTGTAGTCCTGCTGCTTGACACTGCTGTAGAAGTTCGCGCCCACTCGGGTCAGGCTGGGCGAGGGTTCCTTGGGGCGGCTTTTCAACCTCATCTGCTCGAAGCCCTCGTGGGGGGAGGCCGAGAGCCACTCGTGCTGCCGGATCTCCATCCTGACATGACCAGGAGGCTGCCTGACACGCAACCCACTCGGGATGGGAGCAGGGAGCCGCCGGCAAGCGAAAGGCCAGGCGGGCGGTGAGATGGAGCTGAAGGAGGGAGAGGGGTGCACAGGGTGCTGATCGCCCTCGGAAAGCACGGGGTGCAATCGTCCAAGGGGTGTGCAGCACGCTGGCTAGAGGCACGAGAGCGGAGACAAGGGGAGAGGGACAGAGGAGGGTGGGTGTCTCAGGGTAGGGGATGGGAGAAGGGATGGGGGAGGGAGCGGTTGGGGAGGGGGGAGACTGGACAAAGGGAGACCGGGAAGGAGTGGATGCCTTCTCCTGAGTGGCAGAAGTCAGGGTGCAGCGACGTTGCCTGCCGCTGCAGTCCCGAGCAGGAGCTCCGCTCGCGGCTGCTCCGCACCAACTGGAACCGGGGCCCGAGGCGGGCGGGCGGCGGGGGTGGGGTGCGGTGGGAGGGGCCCAGCGGCCGAGCCGGAGCCCGCAGGTTGATGCAGTGAGGAGCCGCTCGGAGGCGAGCTCTGAGTCCGGCCGCCGCCCTCTGCGCGCTCCTCTCCCCAGCCTGCCTGCCTCGCCCTGCCCTCGCCCTAGCCCTCACCCGAGCCGGTTCTCGCCGGCAAACCACCGAGCGACTGGGAAAGTGAGCGCTGTCCGCGCGCGATTGCAGGCAAGACTTGGGAGGACGATGATCCAGGAAGCTACCACCTCGACTCCGCTCTGCACAGCTCCAGTTCCTTCTAACTCCACTATCTATCTTTGCTCTGAAAGTTCACTAACTTCCCACCTCGGGCGCACAGGCATCTCATCTCTGGGGACTTGGCAGACAGTCACCCCAGAAAATGACTTAGAGGTACATTTTTGTGAACCTTGCATTGTACTTCATCTGAGGATGTCCGGATGCGATGCATGCCTCTCCACCAACCAGGGTAGTCCTCTCCTGTCCACCTTGTAGAATCTGTCACGTTTTGGCTTTCAGGGTCCCCGAAGCTGTCTGGACCTGATACCTCGGAAGAGGCCACCCAGCACTAGCCTACATCTAATACCTGGATTTTGTTCCTTAGATGTGTGTGGCTGACTCCTGTATGGCTCTTTCTGCAGCTTCTAGGCTCACAAGGGCTTGACCACCAAGCCTAGTCTAAGACCACCAAGACTGAGGATTAGGGTGGCATGTAAACGAATCTTAAATTCCTTATTCTTCACTCTCCCTTGTAGTCCATGGCTGAAAACATTTTTTGGTTTGTTGTTTTAATCAGAAAACTGAAACTTAACTATTGTTAATGATTGCGAAAGCCAGGTTTAAAAGCCTGGAAAGTCAATGTAAATTTGAGAATCATTCGGAGTGTTTGAAAAAGCTGCAGAGGGTAAACTTATCCAGCCCTTGTCTGTGCCCCCCGCCCCCCATATCCCAGCTAACTCCCAACATTCTTGCTCAGATGTTGGTTTCAAAGAAATACATTCCATGTTGGAATCTGCCAAACTCGTGAAGACAACAGTCTCGTATCTATTCAGAATCCACATTTTATAAGAGTGGCTGGGGAGGGCTATACCAGGAGATTGAGTCCAGACTTTGCATGACCAAGCCCTGGCTCACACAGCCTCTCCAAATGCTATGCAAAAAATAATGGCTGAAATAGAATCCCGTGGGCAGCCCATGTGAAGAAGAAGCAACTGAATACAGACAATTTTCAGTCATAACGTCTAAGCTACTGGGCAGAGTGACCTATGGACTAGAGCTAAACTTCACAGCTAATTCTGCAAGATAAATGTTATGAAGCCCATTTTCCAGTGAGGGATCTGTGGCTGAAGGAGAAACTACACTTGCAAACACAAGTACCTGAGCTGGGCTTTAAAAACTGCGAAGCTTAGGTTTGCAGCTCTTTGGTCAACTGCTTACCTAGTCTTGACTCCAATCCCTACAACAATAGATTAAGAATTCCATTGTATAATACATTCCATTGTGTAATATTTTCCATTTTATACTATAATAATCTATCATATTATTAATCATCTCAGTTTCTACTATTACAATTTTAAGTATAAATCTACACTGTAAAGGGATACAATTAGATTCAATGGATATACGCTGATTGCCTTTCTGGAAAGGAGACTTTTTCTTTTGCTCACAGGGATTATGCTAAATATAGTATGTCGCTTCCACACTTGGAGTGTAATAGCCAATTCAGAGTAATAATGAAGTAACGATGTGTCTTACCACAGAAGAATTTAAACAAATGTTTTCCACATCAAGCCAGTTTTTGAGCTGAGTTACTTTATGCTTTTATAAGAGAAAACATTCTGGAAGTTTCTATCACCTCCAGTTTTTCAAGACTGCAAAAGGAGTGTGTATGTATGTAGCGCTGCATATATGTGATAGTAAACTACTGAACTGAGCATTGTCATCGACTTTCAGATAATGTCTGCTATGTTCAAAAACCATCAGGCCAAGCATGAATCCCTACTGCATCAGGCTGACCCTCATTAGTGTAGTACACCAGGGGTAAAGTGGATTCAGTGAGTCTAGTAAGTGTCTGTATTTTTACTCACAGTCTTTCCTTCTATCTTTGACTCTTGTCCAAGTTTATTATTTGTGACATTAATATGGAACATTCTGGTTGACGTTCAAAAGAACATTTATATCAAATTGAATTTGATTCCAACCACTGAAAGGCAGAAAAAGATGTCTGAAGATGACCATTTATATAGGAGTTGCACTAGAAGAAATATTAGGAGAAGATTAACTTTATCGAACTCACAAATTACTCCCATAACACTTATTCCTGAGCATTTTCACAGCCCTTTGGTCTGCTGAATGCAGTGTATTACACATAATTGATCTTACCAGCCCATTGGCTTCTTGTAAACTGAAGCCATACATGATTCTTTACTGTGCTGATAGTGCCTCATTGACAACGATCACACAATAAACCATGCAGAACATATTAATGAATGCTAACACCCCCACAATCCAGTTTTGTTTCTTTATCTTTGCAAGAATTCAAAATTAGAATACTCAGAGTTCAGGGCCAGCTAGATGGCTCAGTATATTAAGTGCACTTGCCACCAAGCTTGACAACTTGAGTTTGATCCCTGAAATGCACATGGTAGAAGGAGACAATTAACACCTGCAAGGTGTCCTCGGCCCCTACAGGCCCTCCATGGGAACCTCTAACCTCCCCACCACACATAAGCAAAAAGAATAAATAAATATTCAGATTTTAGAACCACATCTTTTAATTGCTTAGTTATGGCTTCCTCAGCTTTCATATTTGGTTTCTACTAGCTTCAAGTTCATAAAACAGTTGGAGATGTATTAGTCAGCTTTCTGTTACTGTAAGAAATACCTGAGGCAGTCAACATTTAGAAAGAGGAAAGGCTTATTTGGGTTCAATGTTGGAGGGCTCTGTCCATGACTGATTGCCTACTATTTAGGACCAGCAGCAAAGCAACATGTCACAGCAGATGGTAAGCTGCTCTCCTCCCAGTGAGGAAGCAAAGGAAGGAAGAGGCAGTAGCTGAGGTCCCTATATCCCTTTAATGGCATCCCCCTAATGACCAGAATACTTCCCACAGGCTTCCATGTGTTAAAGGTTCCAACATCTTCTAATGTTGCCACAAGCTGGGGACCAAGCCTTTAAGCAACATGGGCCTTTGAGGAGCTCTTATTTAAAACCACAAGAGGAGTAACTTTTGCTTGCTCCAGTGATTTCGATGGGAAGGGACTGAGAAAATAGTGCCTGAACTACAGAGACCTTGTCATTCTAGGAGTTGCCAGGCACCTGAATGGTCTCTGCATTACCGGAACACTTGTTATCTTTCCCTTCAATGGATCTATCACTTGAGTAATCAATAGTGTTTAGTGCAGAAACTGCATTCAGCCACATACTCATGTTTCGCTGATATATGTATTTATTCTAGAGTTTTATTGTAAAGTGGCTATCTGTGCTTTTATGCCTTAAAACCACATGAAAGAGCATGGAAAACACATAGCTACTCATTTCAAACTCAAACTTAAAAGATGTCCTTGACTATGATCTGTTATTATTGTGTGGACCTAACCTTTCTGCGTGAGCATGAAACCTAAGAGCTAACATATTGAGAAGTAACAGAATATCTTCTTAAAGTCCCCACAGCTATGGTGATACCTGATGTTTCCATAATATCCTCATCTGTGGCACATGCCTACTCCCTTTGCCACATTACTTTCAGGGAAAAAAAATTACCTGAAAGCATTCTTGCTATTTGCTGCCAGCTCCAATTTTTTTCCCTTGACATAGAAATTTAAAATTCAGGGGCGTTAAATACCTGCTCAAATCCATTGTCTAGTAAGTCACAGAATGTCTCTCTAACTCTCTAACTAAAGATTCAGGCCACATTATTTCAGCCTTTAAAAACCTCAAACAATTATTTCTTAGTGTCTATGTATATGTGGGTGGGTACACATGTATGTATGCATGTGAGCCCAAAAGTAGACATTGGGTGGCTTTCTCAATTGCTCTCCACAAGGGTCACTTCACCAAGCATTTCAGTTAGACTGCCTGGCGGGTGAGCCCATGGACTTCACCTGTCTCTGCTGCTCTCTTAGAACTGGGGTTTCCAACGCAGACCTCCTACACCCTGCTTTTGATGTGGGAGCTGAGCATCCAAACTCATGGATGTCCTCCTGGTTGTGCAGCAAGTGATTTACCAACTGAGCCATCTTGTCAGCCACTTCTCAGTTCTATTTTTCTTGCATGTGTATTTTATTACGTATTACTGGATTTTGTTAGAGGATTACCACTAATGAACAAAACATTTCAATAATTACATCTTCCCTGATAAATCCTAATGACTTTTATACTATGTAAGTCTGTGCTCAGACATAGGCCCAAGAATGTCTGTATTCTCTGTTATCAAAAAGCGTATGTAATGGTTATGATGACATTGCTTTTCAAAATAGGTGTTAATTACAAGCTTATTTCTGTAGAAAATTTAAATGAAGCACTCCTATTTGAACAAAATTAGAGTATCCCCAGATT